AACATTGGACCTACAATTAGAACATAAGTTCCTGTGCACCACATATTGCAAGCCCGGCTTTATTTTTTGCAAGATAAGAACAAGAGAGATTTATACCTCTGAATTTTTTTAGCTTTTTGTTTTTTGAGATTGGGGTATACCAGCATGCTGATGCAGGAAGTTTACATTGATACAGTTCTCCTTAAAACAATATATCCAATTCTATTTGTCAGGACAGAGATCGTCAGTTAGCTATAGTATTTACTTCGAAAAATGCAATAGGTACAGACTTCACTATCATTCAATTCATATGGAAAACTTCCAGAAAAGTTTGCTTTTTTCATACTCCTTTCTTTCCTCATTGAGACAACCGAATATAGCAGATCCTTGTGAGTACAACATACATTTTTGTTGGTTTTTTTTACCCAAGTGTGTACCTTTTTTCCCCAGCTGAAATCCGATTTCAGCAGTCATACTTTTGTAGGAAAAGAATTGGTTTAGAAGAACTACTGATTGCCTCCCCAAGCCTTCTCTTCCCCCTTACAAAAAGTAACCTAGCAAGTAGTGAAGGGGCAGAAGAGAAGTGACGTGTTCCCAGGATCACTGGGTCCTTCTGAATGAATATCTCAAGAAGACACATATAAAATGAAGCAGTGTAAAAAGAGCCACAGCCATAGAATGGTTTGGGAGCTCATAAAGGAAGAGTTCCTAATTTTCCTCCAGTTTCTGTTGAACACAGTTATTAACCAGTCTTGTATACAGTTTGCCTCTACCCTGATGGAAGCCATATAATACCAAAATAAAACAGGTTTTATTTCACAATTTCAGACAACTGTTATATTTACCTTCTTTATCTTACCTTCACCTGTAAAGAATAATCTTTCTGAACTTTCGTTTAAGAGAGTTTTGAGCAGCATGCATGTTTCAGAGACTAAGTCTAGCTGCGACATTTTATAATAATGAAAAGTAAATCCCAATCCTGCCAATGTTTTATATTTTCTAAATAGACTGATCATGTATTTATCTTAAAGGATTTCACAACCTTTCTTCTTGTATTATTAAATGTCAGAATTGGAACATTTCAAATGTCACTAAGTTATTACCCTAAGGAGTTATAATAATTTGTATTTAAAGACTAGAGTAAGAAAAAAGGTCCCTGCTGAAAGGCTGAGAGAGGGGTTACCTGTAAAGCGTGGTAGTTAAGAATACCCTAAAGAGACACTCCGAGAGTCAGACTTATAATATTATGTTTTCAAAGTAGAAAGTATACTCAACATGGCAAACCATGTCCTGGAATTTAAGAGTTTTAAGGCTAGCTCTGTTTCCCTATGACATTGTTGGGAAGCACACCAATAGATCATGTATTAGAAATCTGTCTTCTGTGCTTGAGAACTGCCAAAATTTTGACTGGTTGTTACTATCAGTTGAAGTACGTGGCATTCCAAGAAGACACATAATTTTGGTTCAGGGTTTATTTGTTGGTTTAAATGGGTTAAACCAAATCAAAGTGAACAACTGAGCTGGAAACATTACAGGCATAAGAATTTTTTGATGGCAAGCTTTTTTGCTGTAAATATAGTTTAAATACTCGATGCAGCCTATCTCATGACCAAACTGCTAGAAATTGGAACAGTCTGGCAAAACCTCATCTCCTGAGACAGGGTTACAGAGACCAGGCATCGTCAGTGGCATGAAGAATAATTCATTACATCCGGATGCTGACCTTTAAATAAATGTAATGAGGACTTTATTTTTAAATTTGTGTGATACTCAGAATAGACACTCATCACAAACGATCAAAAAAAGAAGAAATTTTAAATATTTTGATAATAAGGCATATAAGAAAACAAGGAATTTAGGTGACTTCCAGACATCTTCAGATTTTTGGTTCTGTGATGTCCCACTACTAACCAAAGCCTACTTTTCGTGTACTCACAACTATAAGATGCCTTTTTTTTTTCTTTTTTTTTTTTTCATTCTGCTAAGAATCTTTTTTTACCTACCATGTAAACAAAATCAAGCAAACCTGAAAACTGAGTTAGAATGTAGGGGGAATTGCAAGGATACCACAAAAGATTGGTGCACAAAACAGAAAGGAAATTGGCTCTTGCACAAAAGTACAGTTGTCAAATCTAAAAATCAGGTTTGAAGCTGGAGATTCTAAATCTGAACATTCAATTTTTCTCTTCTTCCTTCACTAAAGGAGTTAGGCCTAACAAAGCTTTCTCTGTTTGTACTGGGAAGACTAAGCAGAAATTGTTGCTCCTCTGGCATTTCAAAACCAGGACTTGAAATGGCTGCCAATTTTAAGTATTTTTCCTCTGCTTACCAATTCCTGCACTAGAAGCAAGCACATCCTCAGGCCCTCATTTTTTTTATTTGTAATTTTTGAAAATTAGCTATCTTGGACTCCAAAGATAAGTCTTAAAAACTTTAGGAAATTACTCTGCAAAATATGAAAGTTATGTCTAACATTGTAAAGGTAAGGAAATGGAGAAGATATATAAAAAAGCCCCTTCCAGTGGCAAGACAGCATAGAATCCAGGCTCAGCGTGTGTGTTATTTGTGCTTTTAATTTAGAATTATTCTGAATCTTTTAGTTAACTGTTTATCATAAGTGAGATAAATTATCAGCGTCATGTTACATTTGCAGTTGTTTCTATGTCAGTATCAGCTATCTCCAATTATTTTAATAGCATGTGGAAAATGTCTTTTCCGAGGGAGGGGAGAGGGGAAAAGCTTGTAAGTAGACTTAGTTGATCCATTTCAAATATTACACTAGGGCTCTCTTTGTCATGTATCGAAAGAAAAGAGAAAAATCACCTACTTGGCTCACTTCAGCCAATGCTTGCATTCTTCAGAAAGAAAAACTATGGACAAGCTAGACAAACAATAGAAGAGGCTAGATCTCCGATAGAAACATTTCATAGTATTTCACCACTTAAAAAAAGTACAAATAACACCAAGAATGATTTGATTGCAGTAAAGGATTTATCTACAAACATGACAAAAAAGTTAGTGTGACTATTCTACTTTCCAGATGTTTTTATAAATTGATATAGATAGATATTGATAGATAGGTAGAATACACTCAACTGTTTGGGACTGTACAGAAATAATTTGAACACATGAAAACATTTTATCCTCATACAGCTCCTCAAATTAAATAATTTCCATTCTAATTTTAAAAATAAACCAGAATGATGATGACATAATATAGCAAAAACTTGAGATGATTTTGTGCAAATGAGGTGATCATGCATTCATAAGTTATTTCTGCTCTTCTTTGATGAATAATAGTACAGAATGGAAGAAGTTCACATTACTGTCATAAGAGATCAACACTGAGCAAGAGGGATGGGGAATCTCTAACATCACCAGCAAATGCAATTCAGTAATTGGACAACATAATAGGCTAGTTTTAAAAATAACAAAAAAACCCCAACCTGAAGTAAACATTATTTCTTCAAGCAATCAAACAGTACTCTAGTGCTGCTGGTTAAACTTAATTCTCAATAGCAAAAGAATCAGGGTTTTTTTTAGGTAAAGTACCTAAGCATTCATGAACCTATTTCCATTAATTACATCTCCAATTTTAAAAAGTCTTTTATATAAGTTGTTTCTTGTAATGTATTAAAGTCCTAGAGACAGATTAAATAGGCTCCTTATGTGCAATACTGTTATGGTAGTATAGGAAAAAGTTCTTTTTCACAAGAAATACTAGAAAGTATTGCTACTGAAACCTGGGTGACTGAAATATAAAAATAGCATGGGACAAATATATTTTAGATGAAACTTAAAATATTGCAACGTAGAATAATTTTGTGATGTTATCAATGGGCTCTAGTCTTAAATGTTCATAATTATGGAGGTAGAAGAATTTATGTAACTGACTAGAACTCCTTTAATGTTGTTTGGCAAGACAAAAGCCATAAAGGTAATATACCTACTGTGCCCACCCATGGTTATAAAATACTTGATCGAACGTGGATTAAATTTGCAAGTCTAAAGATCAGTAGCACGCATTTCACTAAGCATTCCTTATTTTCTCCCTTATAAGCAAACTACTGATCATTTTCACAAAAGCTGCTCAATGCAGTGATGCTTGAGCCATCCAGACATTAACAACAAAAAAAAACCCAACCCCAAAACAACAACAAAAGCCCCCCACAAAAAACAAACCCCACCAAGGAAATAAAAAAAGAAAAAAAAAAAAGAAAAAAGAAATAGATATCAAGAGCTTTTGGCCACTCTTTGTTGCAAACTAAGATTCAAAGACACCAGAACTTTACCTTCCTCTTCCTGACCTCCAGAACAATTGAATAGTCTTATTCTCTAGTAAGATAAGTCTGGTACCTGTGATCGGAGAGCTTTCACAAAAAAAAAAAAAAAAAGCTAGTCTTCTGAGGAAACACAATTTGAATTTCCTCAACTCCATCAAACTGCACCATGTTTAATGAATAACATAACATGAGTGGTGACATGTTAAAAAAGATAAAATAAAATAGGTTGTGTTTACATTGAACAAGTCCAACCCAGACTAAGTCTCCACTATCCCAGTATTACATTATCTCCTTTTGAAGTCCAGCATGGCACCCTAAGTCTGTTCACCTACTACCACCACTATAAACTTCAGTGGAGAAACAGAAAAAAATCTCTGCCACTATTATGGACATGAACTTTTGTAGATTAGCTAATATAACCAGATCTTCTATTACTATTCCTTAGTAATGGCATCCGACCTCCAGAACCAACTGTTAACTTACTTCTGAGTGAAATGAACAATAACATTTTACAAGAATCACCTTAGACAGGCAGGAACCTTCAGTCTCTGTACCTAGATACACTATGGAGCATGTAAGCACTTTGAAATCAAAATTTAGAATCAAATCCACACTTCCGAATGTTTGCAGACAGAACATTCAGTACACTAAACTACTGCAAAAATGTCTGAAGTAATGTTTTTCTGGTCTTTTTACAAAATGGTAGATAAAACACTTCTGTTAGAATCTTACCTGTACCTGCTGAACATCTTCTATGCACTGTTTCTCTGTTTCTAGGACAGTAGATTTCAACTCTGAATTTGAAAAGAAGACACAGATTTTAAAAGTTCTATATAAAAAAAAATCATTGATCTTTTGAAATACACATTAAGAATTTCATTAAAAGAGGGTAGAGTTAAAAAGAAAACAATGTTAACTGTCCCACTTTCCAAATTATCCACCTAAAATTAACTGAACAGATTATATGTGTAAATAAAGCCAGCCTGATCTCACTTTGCAATGTATGTATTATGACTCAACATTAAATGCCATCATCTTAAACTTGAAAGAAGTGCATTTTGATTGTCAAAATTTCTGATTCAAAGAAAAATAGTTACTTATGACTCTATTATACACATTCTGTTATACACACAGTGATACAGATCTAAACTCATTTTAAAAGTGTGCTTGAATGCAATTGGCCTTACTATTGCAAATACATTTTTGAGAAATCTCAATTTCATCCTAGCTTTATAATTCACTGTATACAACATCTCGGCCTTACAAAGGGATGGTTTGGGACAGTACACTTACTGTGTAAGTGTACAGTCAGAGCTTCCCAGTACTGGGGACATTCAAACTGATTCTTCAAAACTAATTCTTCACCTTTGTACTAAATTCCACACTCTCTCTTTTGGGCAAAGAAACAACATTAATCTGACTTTTGGAATTTTGACCACGTTACTCATTTCCATTGAAAAATAAAACAGCAGTACTTTGTTCTATTTGTATCTTGTTCAATTATTTTCTACTTTAGAATAACTAATAAGAATCCTAATGAATATCTATGCATTCCTTCACTTCATTACTGTCTTTAAATGGAGAAAAAAATTGTTTGTCCCAGCATGGTGGTTTTAAATGGAACTACTGATCTCCAACTATCGCTGTGATGATGAAAAATAAAACAGTGGTGGGACTAAGAACTTTTATCTGTGTATTTTAGCTGGAAAATGGGCATCAAAACATAAGACACACACCCCCAACTAGATTCCCTTTCCTATTTTAAAACCTGGATAACTATTATTCTCTCTACAAATACCAGTCTTTGAGAACTCTGTTTTCATAAAAACATTTCTATTTAAACCAAACCTAAGCACAAGAGAAATTACATTAAAACCTCAATTGCACTAATATTTACTTCAGTGAGAGACACATACTGCACAGTCCTGCATTGTTTTTACAGTTCAGTATTTTGATTGGCTGCTGGATAAGAAATAACAGATTTTGTGCTGGAAATGACACAAGCATGTAACAACCCAATACACGGACCCTCAAGTCTTTTGGTAAGCCATTGCAGAGAACAACAAAGACTTAATTTTAATTTATTTATGGAAGAGAGAGGGTCTTGTAGTTAAAGCACAGAGCCTGAATTAAAAGCTTTGCTCTCCATTCTGACCTTTCTACAGATTTTTTTTTCTCTGACCTTAAAGAACCTCTGTGTGCCTCAGTCTCCTTGTCTGATAGGAGATAACTAGAAAAAAGAAAAACAGGGAAAAAAAACCCAACCACAAAAAAACCCCCCAAACCAGCAGCTACACAGTGTAAAGATCTGTCACCAGCTTAGTAGCTACTGCTAATGATGCCTCCTTAACTGGTCATAGCCTAGTTTTGTACACAGGACAAGAATAGAAATATTTTTTCTTATACCTGCCCAGAGAACATGTGCATCTCACACCCTTCTTACATCTTTAAAGGGTACCACTATACAGCAGGCAAATCTGTTGACTGTTTGCAGGAAGAGTGAATCAGTTGTGGTCCAGTACCTCTGGATTGATAATTCCTCAGCCTTTGGCCTCCTCACAGCTTTTTGACAATCCCAGCTGTTGGGAGGCGAGACATACAAGGGGGAAGTTTCATTGCCAGTGGCTGCAAGGCCATCCCTTGAAAATTAACAGACCTCAACCTTTTTTACTGAAGAAAATTCAGGATGCTACTAATGAATTGGACACTCACTCCTCATTGCAATCAAAAGAACCTCACCAAAAATAGTGAATTATTATTTTCTGGTAAAAGCAATTAATGTCTCTTCTGAAGGAAGGGAAGAGTATTAACGTTTTTAAACTAAGCAATTGTGAGATACTTGTTTCACAAATTATCTGGAAGAGAACATTTTTGGCTAACCCTACCTCAATTGATTTGCAGAACAAGGAAAACTTCACTGGTATTTGGGCATTGGTGATCTCCCTGAGGCCTGTGTACGTGATTTTAATTTTCTGTATGGTTGAGAGAAACTTTAAGATTAATTTGATCTTTGCTTACACCAGGCTTTATTCTTTCCTAACGTTTTAGTACTAGACAAGACATGTACACGCACAACTTAGAAAGTAATGTTTCCTGTTATGCAAATTGGCACAAACTACCTCCCTTACTCAAAAGTTCTTAAAAAAATAAAGTAGGATAAGGCTGTTCCTATATATTTGTCAATATTTAACAATTTGACAGAATTGTCTAGCTTATTTTTACCTTACACAGATTTTTGTTCTAAAAAGGGTTCTAAATATAAGCCGAGTTCAGGGTGATATGAGCAGATAATTTTAAGGTTAGTTTGCCAAAATTCATCAAATACAATCTATTCGCAGCAAACTAACAGGGTTTTATCTTCGTTAAGCAAAACTAAAAAACAAACAAACAACCCCCCCATCAAAAAAAAAAAAAAAAAAAAAGAAAAGAAAAGAAAAGGAAAAGAGTGCTATATGATGAATGAAACCTTCCCTTTAACCCAAACCAAACTTTTTTTTTTTTTCATTTTTCATAAAACAAAGGAAAGGAATGTCTGGGCAAGCCTAGTTTTGTTACAGACTAACTTAGTTTTCAGGGTGTAAACCCACACAGAGGTTAGTGTGTTGGGACTGTTTCATTTTGCAGGAGAAGTTGTATAATCTTTGAGTCTCTGCCCAGGTGGTTAGGACAGTCCCACAAGAGCAGGATAATTGGGCTCCAGTGCCTGCATATTTGTCTTTCCCTATATGTTAAGTGGAATAGTGTAATCAGCAAAGCATTAAACTAATTGCATTTCGAATACTGTGTTGTGTTTAGATTCAAACAATGTACTGGGGTCTGACAGTGGTAGAATCAAATACCATAAGAAGTGACAGAAACAGCTTTTGCGTATTCAGATGGAAAATTGGTGGCACACAATTGATCTTACTGGTGATATTGACTCATTTCATCCACAACCTTTTATTAATCCAGAACTGAAAAATATTTTTGGCATAAGCATTTGCTGACTTGAACTCAAATTCATATTAGGTATTTCCAAACATAATTTTTTTAATAAACAGCCAACCTAAAAAAAAACCCAAACAAAAAACAAACCAAAACAAACTAGAAACCCCCCCCAACCAACCAGACCAAAAAAGCCCCAAATAATACTGACCACTCTAATAGCCCTTTCCTCACACCCAGCAATGCTCCACATGACAGAGAGCACACAGCAAAACTATTTAATATGTACTACCTTAAACAGATTATTTACTACTATGCTAATTTTGGAACAGATTACCTAAAACCTTATGGAATTTCCTCTTGCCTTACTTAAAACTTGAAGGCCAAGTATTGTCCTCATGCTAACGTGTATAATAAAAGTAAAGAATTTACATATAAAAATATCCTGCTACTTTCCTCTCCCGATCAATACCTTTGTATAAAATGGATGGGTTTGTTTATAAACCATTATCTCCAATGTTAATATTGTGTGTGTTTAATCCATACAACAATAATTATATGTAATGCAAAAAAACCCTAGTCTGCACACAGTAATTTAAACCTTTAAAAAAAATGCTTGTCGCCTCCACCTTTCAAAGGCATATATACATCAAATAATTTAATTACAAATCTTGGGGAAGGTGTTTATCCTTCAGGCTTCACATGAAACATCACTCACCTCCAGGTTCTTCCACATGGCAAGCATGTGAACAATCAAACAAAAAGTTAAATTATTTATCTACCTGAATTGTATTCAGAACAAGTATAATTTTTCCATTTCCCTCCATGCCCTACACTGCAAATTCACACCAAAACCCAAAATTTCAATAGTATTTCTGTCAGCACCTCAAGTAAACTTTGAGAACTATTTGTTTCATTTAGAAATAATCACAATACACAATTTTCCATTTTACTTCTGTTTTCTTAATATTTTTGCAGTTTTTGAGAGGGCAGTGGCTGAGATAAGGAACAGACAAGTACTGTACACATTACATCCATATAGCAGGTATAATATTAAATAGAACAACATAGAATGTAAACAAACCATGTATAAAATGAATAAATTTAAAAATTATTCGTATTATCCTTTTGGTAGAAATACGCTTCCAAATTGGTAAAAAAGGTAAAAATCTTTACATTTCAAAATCTTTTACGAAATCAATGTTCTCCTAGATTTTAGGGCAACAGAACTGTTGTTAACTTGCACCAGCCTCTGTCAGCCTAAAGCCTCAAAGTGAAATAATAAAATATTCACTCTTTTGTTTTTCCAGTGCAGAGTATGTTCATAAATACTCTCATCACACGTCCATTAGCTAAGTCTCCAAGTTGAGAAATGCAACCTGTCCTCTCAGAGTACACGGCAATGAGTTCTACTATCACAAATGACAGTACTTTCATTGAATACAGCATAAAATAATAGATCATTAGTCAAAAACTGAACTAGCCCAACACTCTCATACTGCAGTGTTCCACACTCTGAATTGCATCAGTGAGATGGATGCTGAAATGTTTCCTCGACCTCTAATAGAGCTGCTTTCATACATAGAGCATACACAGAATAGCAGTATTGCATTTTTGTTGGCATCACTTATTTTGCTTGTGAACACTGGAATAAGTGATACCAGTAAAAGTGGAGTGCTGCCATGATAAATGGTGTCCATACAAGGAATACTTTATGTTCCAGAGGAAGTGGTAGAGAAGTCCCAAAGAGAAGCAAATCTGAAATTAACTCCACCCAAAGCCTACAAGTAATACAAAGAGATCTGTTGAAATAATGACTTAATTCTTCAAATCTGAGCAATGCAAAAAAAAAAAAAAAAAAGAGTGGTAGGAAATGGAAAATTTGAGAATACCCAGTGGCTCTCCATGAAGGTCATGGGGATGAATGCAGCCTAAAAGTGTTGAGAGCCACTGAATGCCACTAACGCAAAGCTAAGACTCCAAGAACCTGTGGTATTTGCCCATGAACACTACTAACGGAAAACAGGTTTGAAATTCTCTTCTAAATTTTTTTGTCAGCTATGAGGGTTTTTTTGTTTTGTTTTAATTCTCATCTTAAATAAAGCCTTTAATGAGTACGCAGAAGATTTCAGAAACTTGGCTGGTAGAGTGACCTCACAAATTTTAAGATAAACTGACTTTGTAAACAAGATCTCAATTTATTTTTCAGATACACTTTTCCTACCTCTCTGTCAGCAGGGAACTGCTGAATCCACAAAGGAATACCTTACACCACTCTAATAACTTTCAGTACACCACCAGTGGGCTTCTGAAGTTTTCCATATTTTTAAGAAAAAAGTACCCATATTTCATGGCTCTGAAGGTATGCAAACTGGAAAAGAACAAAGGTCACAACACCTGGTAAAATCCATTAGTCAGCAGATGCCAGGTGCACATCTTGGTTGTTAACAAAAAGCATGTATTTTTTCTGAATATTTTTTATTAGATTCATACTAGCTAACTTTATTTCTGATGCTAATCCAAGATCTTCAAAATCAGGTATTTGTTAGAAGTTAAGATATTAAGTTTATATCTTGGATTCTAAAAGACAGCAGCTCCCCCCCATGCCATATATATATCTTGTCTGTGTCCAAGAATGATACCTTCTTCCGTAATTTTGAGTCTTTGTTCTTCATCTGGAGGTTTGGGTGGGGGCCACACAGATGGAATTCTCCTTGGAAAGCTTCCTTCAATGTAATCTGATGAATGTGTGGGTTGGCTAACTGCAGCCCAAGTATAAAGCTGGTCTTGCTGTGGTTATTAAAAAAAAAAAAAAAAAAAAAAAAGTTGAGAAGTTCATATAGAAAGACAAGCTCAAAATATCAAAGCTTTTGTTTCCAACACAAATAGCTCAATATCCACCTCTACATCAAGGCAGACTTGGTTTTGTGCTCTTCATCGCCTGATAAAGACTTAACACAAACCTATATTAAAAAAATCTAATGTTTCAATTTTGGAATTACTTCTATTAACAACAGAAAATCTAATCGTTTAGTTATCTACAGTACAATACGATGCTAGAATACAGTTCAGCACTTTTTTTCAGCATGAGGAACTCTTTGCCACTTTTTCCTTAGAGAGATAACAGGTTCTGTCCATCATGGCTGTACTACTTTACATATGGCTAGTTTATAGGTTAGAGAAAAATATTTCAGTCCACACTCTATGTAATCTTTTTATACCAAATGCACAACCAGGGAAAAGAAGCAGGATTATTTCAGCATAAATTAAACTGAGATATTTATTCTTTACAACCCTTTTTTTGTCATTTACATTTCCATATTCATAGAAAGGCAGCTAAAAATGTGCTTTGCTTTTAGAATTTAAAAAAAAAAAACACCAAACCCAAACAACCAAACACAAAAACCTAAAAAACAGTTTAAAGTATCTCAATCCTGTGGGCTCAAATCAGATTATATCCTTATTACTCAGAGTTTGATTCACTTATTAAAAGCAGGAGATGTCCAGATTGTCTGATGAAAACTAGGGCAAACTTATGCTTTAAGCCAACAGAAAGATTTTAGATGACCACAATTCAAGTAGTTATTTTTGTGACTCCCAGTATGCATCAACATGCACACCTTGTGATTAAATCTTTATAATACTGTAAACTCTATAGAGATCAATCACAGCAACTGCATGAGTATCCTAGTAAGTGATCTGGAAATATGCAAATATTGTAGTACAAAACTGGAAAAAAAAAAAATCAAGTCACAGGATGAAAATACAGTCATATCTTCTTACAATGATCATGTTTGTTACTGTTCATTCACGCTATTGCCCGAGTAAAACATTGGTAACATGTATTTGTCCTGTTGCATATTTCATTTTTAGATTGAAACTTTTTTTTTTTAATTTTACACAGCTAGTAAACATTAAAGAGAGATGTAGGGGGAAGAACAAAATAATTTAACACTTTTTGGGGGCATAATTGCTATCCCATGTGACTAAGCTTCTATGTGCCTAAAAATAATTTGTGACAAGAGTGATACTATTCTATTGAGAGCAACTTAGAACACACAAATGCTGGTTATAAAGTAAAAAGTTTTGGTTTACAGAGGGTGCCTCAAACAGTCAGAGTCAAAGGAAGCTCATTAGATCTTTCTAGCATGAAAAACATGGCAAAAACCCAGCCACATACACAGACCTTAGATAAAGGTAAAGATAAATGGATAAAAAGCTTAATACAAAATCACATCAGGTTCTTTATATAGCCCTGCACTCTATGTTCCTTGAAAAGCCTATCCTTTTCCCATTACTATGCTACTGCATTTGAACATCCAAACAGGTCTGATTAATGCACTTATTTCAATAACTTAGTACTTTCCCTTTGTCTAATTCCAGCTTTTTAGAGGATATGTATTTTTGGGTTTCTGCCTAATTTCCAGTACTGTGGGAGTAAAAGGGAGAGGGAGAGTCATACCTGTACATACTGTGTAAAAAAAAAAAAAAAAAGAAAAGGGACTGGATTTTGCTATTTGTCTTCTTTCTGCACCATCCAAATCTCAAAAACACAGAGGAAAATAAGGTTCAAAAAAGTCAGAGGCAAACCAGAACAAATTTTTTTTTGCCCACTCTACTACTACCTCACACCGTCCCGGGAACACAGGGAAGAACAAGCTCTACAGAGATTTAGCTGGGTAAGCACAGTCGATTTTCAATGGGCTTACATGTAGGGTTACAGGGCAATAAAACAGAAGACAACAGACTGTAGATAATATTGGTATAGCATGAATGAGGAAGACAATTAAACTGTTCCTGAACATGATATTTCACCATGCCAGTTCTCAAAAGATGTAGTACAATCATTTAACTACAAATTTTTGAAGTATGATTAGTCCTCATGAATTAAGATATACTAAAAAAATCACGGTATGTCTCAGAATTATTGTACAGATGGGATACATTATGCGGGTAATAAAATATGAAGTACCTATGTTCTTGCTGATAGAATATACAGCATATAAACTATGAACAGTTATAAATTAAGACATCACACAACTCCATAACTGGCTCCTAACCCATCATGGGAGCTTTGAGTATAAAAGACAGTATTTTTTGGTTTATGTTAGTTTTTGTTTTGGGATTCTTTTCATTCGCTGTTCAACATGGAGAAAGATGATGAAATAGACTCATCATGTAACAGAAATTACAGAGGTAAACGTCATCTTTCAAAAATGCCTTGAGGGGACTTGCACTACAACTAAAACATATCTGCGTTCAACATATAAACAAGGTATTTAACAACAGCTACATTCAGATTACTTGCAAGTTTATAAATGTAATTTAAAATATGAAACCCCTCATGACAGAAAGGTAGTCTGAAGGTCTGGACTTCAAGTTGATAGTCCATAAACTACACTTAGAATGGCAAAAGATTAACCCTGTCTCCACTTTCGTACCCTTCAAAAGGGGTGAATCATTTGAACGTCCTAATTCCTACTCATTCAAGATATTGCCCAAAATCTAATCCTCTTTACCTTTTGTCTTTAGCTCCTTGTCAGTTAATATACTAGCCCATCTCATTTTTCCTTTTCCAAATCTGATAATGCCATAGATGTGCATGATTATTAGAACATTTTGAAAAAAGATATATGCTGCCAATTCTATGATGTCTAAATACTACTCAAGCAAAAGAAACAAAATAATCCAAATTAAAAAAATCCAAACAAACAGATTTGCTTTTATCATTAATAGTTGCAATACAAGCATCCACAAATGTGGATTTCCACATCCAACTCTTTCTCCTTTAATCTTTTCATTTCAGAGACAATTTTTTACTAGATATCATTGTAAGTACAGCCAGTGAATACTCTTACCGTGATCGAGCTTTGAATACATCTGGAATTTCCACTTCATCTTGCTCAGACTCCACTATTTAGTGTTTGAAGCACTTCTTTTGTGGGGGCGGCGGGGGGGGTTATCCTTGTAATGAATGATCCCAGTCTTATTTATTCGGACTCATTTCTGAGCAGACATTGAAAGCTTAAAGCTGTCTGAGCCCAGTGCACTAAACACAATGTCAAGAAGAGCGCTCGTTTCCACACATCCTTACACAGCACTTTCCACTGGCTCTTAAAACTGCAGAGCATTCGCACATGGGCGAGGCAAACTGCCTGCAGGATCTGATGGTACCTAATCAATAGACATTTTACCACTTATAGATGCTAGCGTTTAGAACAGAGTCACAGAGAGTCAGGTCTGTAGTTTAACTCACTCTCTTCCCAGCCAGCTCTCAGTAGGCGTAAAGAATGTCTTTTTGTAACAGATTTTCATTCTCAGGTACCACAGTGTTACATTTCAGATACCTAATATATTAAATATTAATTATGTTCCTTCACTGCTTGAGCTAAAGATATACTTTCCTGCTAATCTTTAAAGATGGAAGCGAATGCTGTAAGCTACTCAAAGTAAAGGCCTCTAGCAAATGACATATAGAAAGAGGCTGGTGGGCCCAGAACTAGGGCCATGAGCTAGGCCTGCAGCAAACATGAGAAGGCATACTGGTAGACCCTGAGCTTTCAGAAAAGGGGTCGTACATTTTTTACACAGACAGACTAGGTTTGTTCCCTGGGCCACAGACTGAATTAAAGATTAGTATATCCCCCACTGTTGGAATATAACATGCAACCTTGAACCTATGCTTTTGGCAGCTGTATTGCTCCTGGAGATATGCAGGTAATATGACCTTCTGTTCAACACCACTTCAGTTTTTAATCAACTGTTTACTTGCTCCCAGTTCAAAGGACAAAGACAGCCATTGCGAAAAATGCTTAAAAGAGGTACAAGAGATGGAGTTGAAACAGCAATGAATGTATACACATCTGTCCAAACTGTTTGCAAAGGCATGAATTAGCAATGTGAGAATCAAGGGGGAAAAAATCTGACCAGAAGTATTTTGACAATTTTCAAGGCGGGGGGCAAGAAGCACAGTCAGATCATGCATAGTAAGGTGGAGAAAGTGGGGCAGTACAGAAGCACACTGCTATCAGGAGTAGCCTCTGCTCTTCAGGTCAGCAGAGAAGTAGATGGGGGGAGCCCATTAGCAGTACCTTTAAACTTTCTTATACTACAGTGAATTAGTACTAACTTCCTCAATGGCTCCAGTGTTACACCATGACGGAATCAGGCCCTATCTTGCAGGGCATTTATTTTCAAATAGTAAGCTTGAACAATTTTTCACTAGAACCCCAAACATTCAAAGTTATCCTGAAGAGAGGAGGACAGAAAGTTTGGCATGTCCACAGACAGGTATAAATGTTCTAGGAGTAAACACAGAGTGATAGTTACAAGAAGGTTCCTACTCATCAAATCAGTCTGGATGTGGACAGCCTTCCAATGGGAAGCACTAGAAGAGCGGGGAGAGGAAAAAGTATAACTGCATTTAAGATGGAACTAGATAAACTCATGGAGAAATTACATTTTATGGTACTTGGGATAAGCAGGGACCAGACTCCATGACTCAGAAGGTGTTTTCCAGGCTAAGAGCTCCAAAGAGCTTGTTCCACATTTGTATATAACTGCTTGTCATTTAGACTGTTTCAAGTGCATGAAAGGAATTATTTTTTTTTTTCCATTCAGGAAGTTTAATCATTCTAATATACTAAGTATACAACCTCTAAAATGAAAAAAAGCCAATTGCATGTTCCTACTGCATATAAATAGTTAATTGGACAAGCAAGGTTTTAGTTTGAGAAACTAGAGCTGGACTACCTCAAAATGTTCTTATCAGCAGGAGACTGCTTTATTTT